CAAATTACAGTACAATCACAATATGATTACAATTGGCAAAATGAGAACAGAGAAACAAGGGGCAAGGAGATATGAAAGCAAACTAAATACTGGCACCGAAGGAGAATGCCTAAAACTGAAAAACAGATAAATTACAATTTTAATGTATTGATTAGAAATATACTGCAGGGAGATGACTACAAGAAACAGTTCAAGTGGAAGACACTGGTCGCTAGGAACATGGAATGGGAGACAGGGCCACTTTCACAACAAACCTTAGGAATTATTTAATTTACCACTTGTGCAAGCATAAGGCTAACTTTGTAAGTCTTTTTCATTTTTTTTTTTTTTTTTCTGTTTCTCTTCTTAAAAGGGAGAGACCAAGGAGATAGATCTGCAGTTAGGAGTATTTGCTGTTCTTGCAGAGGACCCATTAGGATTTGCAGCACCTACATGGTGGCTCACAATGCCTCTAATTCTAGTTCCAGGAAAATCTGATGCCCTCTTCTGACCTCCATGGGATCCTGCACGCGCACGTGCACACACACGTACACACACACACACACACACACACACACGAAATAATAGACAAATGGGTTTTCACAAAAAAGAAGAGGAAGACATGTAGTTCAGTTGCAGAGCACTTGACTAACAGACATACACTCTGGGATGAATCACCAAGACAAAGAACCTATGTTCTTGTTAAACATCTCATGATATCCAGCACCTAAATATGAGCATGCAAAAGATGCGTCAATGCACAAATCATAAAATATCGGTTTTTGGGGGGGGGGCTTTAATTATGCAACCAAAGTCTGGAGTAAGTACCTCTAAAGTAACTTACACTGCTTAGTGATAAGAAGGAAATAAGCAGGTTGCTGTGACAGATAATACTACAGACAACTATTTGGGGTGAGTGGTGAGAGGAGAGTCCCAGAGGAATGACATCTGAGACCTGAGAGGATGGGACAGACATTGACTGAAAAGGAAAGCTTTGGGGAAAGAGGGGAAGTGGATGACATGGCAGCAGAAAAGGGTTTGGTATGCTGAAGACAATGCCTTGTCGTCAACCACCAAGACTAAAAGAACACAATGGAGAAAGCATTCATCCTCATGTCAGACACCTCATGATATCCAGCCAAGGTGACCCCAAAGGAAGGCAGAGATGAAGGGCTCAGCAACCAACTGAGGTGAAGGAAGAATCCAGAGTGAATCCAATGAAACTCACACTGCCAAGCAATAACAGCAGGGCATGACAGCATCATAGAGCACTCTGATGCAAGAGTGGGAGTCACACCCCAGTCAGTAAACCACTGCTGGGCGCAGGTGACAAGGCTGACCCACGTGGAGACGGAGGGGACAAACACAAGAGGGAGAACTCACATACTGGAGGGAATAGACAACAAGAGAGGCCATGGCTGGTTCCCACCCAGTACATGTAGATAACATTTCAATTCTAGAAACAGGGAGAGAGTAACACCATCCATAGATGGGAAAAGTACCAGAAGAGCAGGATGGGTGAGACGTGAAGCAAATTTAGACTTCATTCTTGGAGACGGAGCCCAAATGACACCAGAAAAAAAGTTGACTTTCTGATATCTTACAGTGAAGGAATTGCTAGGAGAGGACCAAAGAATGGATACAGGAGCTGGGAAGGCAAGTTGGGAAGTAGTTACAAGAAGGAAGTGAGCTGTGCGCAGAATTCCGGTGAAGTAACATCCCAGAGCTAGGGAAACAGTACATTTTAGGAAGGTGACACACCAGATAAGCCTGAATGCCACACAAATACCTATGTGACTCACTATGCAGGAACCGGAACCTCACCACATTCCTCATCTCATCTAGAAGTGTGTTCAGATGGCCCAAGGGTCCAGAATATCGATCCTCAGCTCAGTTAGAATAAGGATGTCTCATCCCGCCCAGCTTAGTAAGAGATCTCCAGGAAGCAACCAGGAAAACCCTGTGACCCACCTAGGAACCCCAGAGGGTTGATGGACAAGCTTCCCAAACAGGAAGTGGACAGTGTCCCAGCAGAGAAACTGAGAACCGTTTTATAGGAATACTCTGTTTTTCTAACTCAGGGCCTGTGGGAAGGAAATAACTCAATGAAGCAGAAGCTAACACAGAGGGATTAAGTGAATTGCCCACAATCACACAGGTAGCACACTGTGGAGGCCAGATTCTCAAATCCAGGATCTCGGTGATGAAGCACAAATCACTCACCATTTTGCTCATCCTCTTCTTCCAAATCAAATGTATCTGAGACTCAGATCACAGATCTCTAAAGCTATGACTTTAGACCACAGGCGACCATTAGCTCTACCCTCTTAAGATTATGTAACTGGCAAAGAGTGAACACACTCACATAAGAGTCTTTACTGTGCACATACATCGTCAGTCAGGTTCATAACTGCGCACACCACCACGCCGCTGCATACTGGTACTTGGAACGCATTCCCCTTGAAGTCTTAAGTACTGTTTGACCAGCACCTGTACATTTTCTCTCCTCCAGCCCTGACAACCAGCCACCACTGTTCAGTCTCTGCTTCAATGAGTTTGACATTTTTAGATTCCACAAATAAGCAGCATTTGGCTTTGGTTTTTTTGTTTGTTTGTTTGTTTGTTTGTTTTTTGTTTTTTTGTTTTTTTTTGGTCTTATTTTACTTAACACAATGTCCTCTAGAGTCATGTATGGTATCACAATTGGCACAATTCCTTCTTTTTACAGTTAAATAATACTCAGTGTATACACACACACACACACACACACACACATAATTTCTTTATCCATTTATTATCAATAGACAGGTATCTCCAATTTGGGCTACTGTGACTAATGCTTCAACAGCCACAGAGACACAAATATTAATCTCATTTCCTTTGGTACATATAGAAACCGGACTATTTGATAGTGCAGAAGTTCTACTTTTAACATGTTCATAAAACAGCTTGACAATTTACATTCCCATTGACATGTATATCCATTCCCTTTTCTCCACACTTCACAAACAATTGTCTTCTCATTAACGTACCAATGCTTAATAATCCAAGAAGCTAATGCAGTGGTTCTCAACCTTCCTAACTCTGTGACCCTTTAATACAGTTCCTTATGTTGTGGTGACCCCACCCCAACTATAAAATGTTCCACTGTTATTTCATAACTACAATTTTGCTGCTGTTATGAATCATAATGTAACTATATGCTATGTGTTTTCTGTTGGTCTTAGGCCTCCCCTGTGAAAGGGCCATTTGACTCCCCACCACCCAGGGGTCTCCACCCACAGGTTGAGAAACACTGAGCTAAAGCAAGCACTCTTCTATCAGGACAGTACATTCTCACAGTTAATAAGCAGTCTTACTTGGAGACCTCAACACCAGGCCAAAGACACAGAACTTTGAAATCAGAAAGACTTGAGTTTAAATTCCAGCTCTGTTCCCTCATGAACAGGAGTGTAAGAGTATATGAGAGAGAGTGTGTGTGTGTGTGTGTGTGTGCGCGTGTGTGAGAGAGAGAGAGGACGAGAGAGAAAGAGGAAGTGTGTGTGTGTGTGTGTGTGTGTGTGTGTGGTGTGCGCGCGTGTGTGTTTACTAGTAAAACCTGAGTCCTAAATTTCAGGGCAGTTACAGAAGACAGAAGGTCAATAGTGGATCTAGATGGGAACATTGTGCCTTATAGGTTTAATACAAATTTCTTTCTTCCTTTTTATTTCTAGAAAATGTAAAACAACAACAACAAAAAAAAAAATCTGGCAGAAATTGCTCTTGAGATTTTTTTATTTTAAAAGTGATGAAAAATGCACTTTTTACAATATAGTAAAATCCCAATATGAAATGTTTTACAGTCTGGAAGTAGGTGTGGTGGCCCACACTTGTGATCTAGTCCTGAAGGGGTGGAGACAGGAAAATCAGGCATGTAGGGATATCTTGAGACATGGTTAATTCAAGGCCAACCTGCAACCGGAGAACCTGTTTCAGAACACAGGCAAACAGAAGCCCTTTGTGCTTATCTCCAGGTAAACCTGTTTTCTTTCTGCTAACACTTTTAGGAGTATTTGTTTTTGGAAGTGTTTCCCTGACATATAGGATTTGCTTCCACACACCCTGGCTGTGACAGTCCCTGCTAACAATGAACCTGTGAAATGTCTTAAGCAGATTTCAAAGTAGGTCTATGCACTTTGGCTTTTGTTCTTCAACACCTTAACATCCTGGGATCTACCCCCAATGCTGCCCAGCTTGCTGCCCTGGTTCCAAGAAAGTTCAAGTCTGAATCTTACACCTGTGACAATCGTTTCATGCATCACATTCACACTGAGCATCACAGCCACCTAAAGGCTAAGAGCCACAACTGGGAAACACAGGCACACTGAGCTGACAAAGATGTCCCAGTAAAAACCACAATTCTAAATACGTAGGATGACAGAAGAAAGCACTTTTTTTTTTTTTTTTTTTCATTTAAGAAAACTTGCATATCTGAAGCCAAAGAACTTAATTCAGCTCTTTGGCCCATGGCCTCTCACAGTTACATACTCAGCATGAACACAAAGATGACTTAAGCACGTTTCCATGAAATACTATTTTCATCGGACAACCTTCAATGTGCTGAGGGGGGTCACAGGCTCCCTTTCCTCACATCAGCACCCTGATGGCAGAAGGCTATTCAAAGCACCCTGAGCAACGTGCCAAGTCACCAAAATCTTTTCATTATATTGCCATTAACAGTCTTGCCAAACATTCCCTACCAGCCAAAAGGATCCTGACCCATAATGCAGTAGGCCACGGGAAATAAACTTAGCTGTCAGAGCTAGTATACAGAATCCGATCATTTTTAGCAATGCACATGGACTGACGGATTAACCAAAAGTTAGGGAGTTACAATTCAACAAGTGGTACCTAAGACCTAACACATACCATCAAGTACACAATGGACAACAACATTAGGGGCTGTTCTCTGGAACCGACCGCATGAGTGAGGGGAACCCTAATTAAAAGTGTCATTTCAAACACAACCAAGGGGATCTTACCCAGACCGGATGGTAGGAGAGAATGAGGAGCCAGAAAAGGTCTCCTGGAGTCAGGAACATCACCTGAAGGATGAGGAGGTATCAATAAATACAATAAACAAACATAAGGACTGGCATTGGGCAACAGAAACCAGAAGAGGCATCAGGCCTGAGTCCCAGGCCTGCCTTGGCAACAAAGGCCTGACCTTGACCAAGCCACTGTCCTGGATCTCGCTTTTCCTTGTCAGGACATGTTTAGGTTAGTCAGTCAGTTGGCCAGACTCTTGCTGCACACAGGAATTGCCTGGGGGCTTTTCAGAAGCCCATTGTCTCCTCCAGAAATGTGGTTACTTCAAAACCTCCAGGCACTGCCGATGTGTGGCCAGGCCTGAGTTTCACCTCAAACCCCAGGTGTCTTAACCTGGAGATAGATTAATTCCCCTAGTAACTTCTTAAAATCTCAGTGGAGACAGACAATTAAACCAGCACCTTAGGGTTGGCGATCAGGTCCCTGACATCTGAAAATTCCCAAGCTGGTGCTCAGCTCTATCCAAGGTTGGTGTAGACCTTGGTTTCCCATATGGGCAATGATGGATGGGAGAAGGAAGGGGGGAGAAGGAAGAGGGGAGAAGGAAGGGAAGAGAAGCCCCCCCCCTCCCTCATTGTCCTGTTAAATTAAAAAGGAAACACCAGAGACTGCTGGTGAGTTTGAAATGGGTTTACACACAGTAGCTGATTTCTGGTGTGTGTGTCCTTCACGTCAGTGCCTGACAGGTAGGAAAGTTCCAAACTGCTCTTGTTCTAAATTGAAAATCCGATGGCATGCTTTTCTAACAATGACTCCACAGTGTGTGCTCTGCAATCCTCGGGTAGAATTTGATTTGCATGATTGCCTGTAACATGAGCATTGCATTCCTCACTCCTGAGGTTACTTACATCCACTTATTAGGCACTGGTGAACCAAACAAACAGTAATTAGAAACCCTGCAGACAACCCTTTAAATCTATTGCTGAATTACACATTTCCTGTTCCCAGGCCCACACACACAACATGTCCCACAGCACCACAAAATCAGAGCCTCGGAAGAACCAATGCCATCAGGGAGACACATGCCACCTCAGGGCTTCCTTGGCTCTGCAAAGGGAGCCAAAGGCTGCTTTAGAAGAGGACTATTCTTTCCCAGCCCTTCTCACAGCTGGGTAAATATGACACTGGCCTTGTGTGTTTTAGAAGTTCCTGGGTGAAAATGAACTCTCCAGGGCCCTGGCAATGAGGAACACCTCTAAGACACAGCCTCTTTTTCCAGAAAGACCAAGAGCATCTGCATCATGGCACAGCTTATAAAATAATGGCTGATGACACCTAAGGGTGAAAGAGGCTAGGGTAGGAAACCCTGAACAAAGCACAGCACTGCTCCACCCTCAGCATCCAAGCAACATTGGTTGGGTTACAGGGTCTGCTAACCTCAAGAGCCGCCGGCCACCCTGGCCTGCACTGAGATCTTGGTGAGTGCTAAGACTGCTCACATTCCAGTACATAGCTGGCTCCTTGCCACCTTGCCAGAGGCTGGGGGCAGGCAGAAAGGAGTCACAGGCAACAGCCATTAAGAAAGTCTGTTCGACTTAACTGCAAGTGGGCACTCCTGCTAGTGACTCAGACAGACCCCTATTCCTGGGTAGGGCTGAGGGTTGAGATGACCTCAGTGGCCAAGGAAAACCCCTCCCTTCATAGCGTGGGCCTCTTCCAAGAGGTTGAAAGGTGCATACAGCCCTAAACAACAATAAACAGGAAACTGGCAAACAAAGCCTGTTTTCACCAAAAAACGTCTGGCCTACTCACTTTATTAAGTGGCTCTTTCCAGCTTAGGCTTTAAAGGGAATACAGCTCTCCACTTGGGTAGTTAGGAGTGGGAGTGGCCTGGAAATAACCTAAATGCCCACTAATAGCTGACCACACACACACACACACACACACACACACACACACACTGGAATGATAGATTGCTACATAGCATTTCAGACGAGTCAGCGCATGGATGCCTCCCTACAACACTAACACATGGAGAAAACCACATCCAGCCTCACTTGTCAGGCCAGGGCTAGGAGAGCGAAAGTTGTTTTTTCTTTACTATCAAAGCAGTTTTACTTATTTTTTCTTCTCCTTGTCCCTCTACCCCCTAAGAGCAGGCAGTACCATGGCAAAGTATTAATTTTGGTGTCTTCTTCATACTCATCTCCCCAAATGAAAACAAAACAATGTTAAAGAAACTGTGACTCCTCAGAACACTCATGTCCAAGCCCTAATGCTTGGTTTGGTTGGAGGGGACCATTTGGAGATGCAGCCTTTAAGGGAATGATTGTGTTACCTAACATGAGGCTGTTAGGGTGGAGCCTAATCAGACTGGTTCCTGAACAGAAGACTTCTGTCTGCAGGAGGAGATACCATGTGTGCGCACACTGAGGAAAACCATCTGGAGATACAGGGGGCAGCTGTGTGCAAGCAGGGAGACCTCCGGAGACCAGGGAAGCTGACACCTTGACCTAGGTTCTCCAGAACTGTGAGGAAATAAACATCTGAAAATAAACATCTGTTGCTCTCTGACCTGCTCTGGGATACTCTTAAGGCTGCCCTTGCAAATGAATACAACTGAAGAAAAAGAAGACTCAGCTAACTGCATGCGGAGCAGTGAACCCCTGGGACTCTTCAGTGGCTGCTCTGACTCCCACGGCCTCTTGTGACACATGAGCAAACTGACACTGTCAAACCCAGAATGCCCCAAATCTGTTCTAAGTTGCTTTTACATAAAAGTAACTGCACAGGCTAATGCCAGTGAGTTCTAAACAACTGAATTTAGTGGTTTTGGCTTTATACTTGAGAAAGCCATTTTCATGATGAAAACACCAATGCTTTCTAATTATGGATGGAACTGCCAACATTAAGAAAGAATACTGACAAGAAAAGATGAATCATTCCTTCCACTCTGAAATGAAAGGGCTTGATAACACAGTGAAAGGTTTTGAGATTTGAATTACCGGAAATTGTCTAGAATTTAAACCTGGGATTTTTTTTCCACCTGAACAACATTTGATTCAGGGCTTACAGCCTCAGACGAATCCCATGGCCTTTCTCTAATTCTTGCTGTCACAGCCCCTGGTCCTGTGAAGGGAAGATGATGGTACCATTTTTAACTCAGCAATGCTAACATCACATATGTGTGACACTGAAGATATCTAGGGCCTTGCCACATGTCAGGCAAGTCATGACCTACACGTCCACACTCCCCCCTTGTAAATATTGCCTTAAAAGGAAGATCAATTGTGTATTTTTAAAACATACACAAACTAGCACAAATATGCATGCTTGTTGTTGGAGCTACATCTTAACAACTGCACATTCTCTGTCAGCCATCACAAAATGAATATATCAGAAGCCTGTGTAGCAGCTCTGTTCTACAAAGTAAGACTTAATAATAAACTGTCCTGCTCAAGCCAGGGCAGGCCCCTGCATTCACTGTAAGATGTACTTGACTACTTTCCCAAGATAACAGAAGTTCTCCAATAAAGGAAAAGCTGAGATGCAGCGAACACCCCACGAGGACTTGCGTGTGGGCTGGGGACAAAGAGAATGAGGAACACACTCACTGCGTGACTCGTCCCTACTCCAGTCACCAGTCAGTACAGCTACATCTTTAACACAGAAAGAGACAGAGAGGACACCTATAGGCCCAGAGATTGGAGCAAGGAGGCAGGAGCGTGGCAACTTTGAGGCCAGCCAGAGCTACACAGTGAAACCCTGATGAAAACAAAAGGAAAAAAAAAAAAAAAACGACAAGAATTCCTTCAGGGAGAAAACAAAGGCTAAATATGAAATATGAGCAAAGATTTATATGAATAAACAGCTGACAAATATTACTATTTATGAAAGAGAAGAACTGATGCATGAGATTTGTGACAACCAAGGAATGATCTTGTAAATGAAACCTCAAGTCAAACTCTCCTGGCACCACTGCAGGACTCAAACTGGCCACTTCCTCCTGGATCCTAAGGTCCCATAGAACAAACACAGTATTTCTGAATGTTTTTAGTTTTACACTCACAGGTGTTTTACCTACATGTCTGTCTGTGTATCACAAGTGTGACAGGTACCCAACAAGGGTCAGAAGAGGGCATCAGACCGCTTGGAACTAGAGTAACAGACAGTTGTGAGCCACCATGTGGGTGCTGGGAACAAAACCCAGCTCTTCTACAAGAACACCCAGTGCCCTTAACTGCCAAGCCATCATTGCTCCAGCCCCCCAGACCCCGTATTTTGTTTACTACCTTAGTCACAAACTATGACAGTGAGCACAAAATAAATACCTGCTATGTGTTTGCAGATATAGTACATTATATGCGACAGACTATTGGCTACGTAATGTTGTTTGTGAGGTAATTTTTACAGATATAGAATGTAGATAATGAGAAGTTCCAGAAATGTATAAGGGTGATGGTTGCCTAAATGTATATGTTCAGTGCTATGGAAATTCGAAAATGGTTAAAATGAAAAAGTCTATGTACATATGATCACAATGAAAAAAATAAAATAAGCAGAAGGCATGGTTAGAGAGCAAGGAAGTGAGAAGGCAGGAGAGAATGCCTAGGACTGCAAACGCCCTTCTGAAGGGGCAGGGAGGCAGCTTGCCAAAGCATGTCCGGTGCTTCTGTTTGGGTGCGAATGTTAGGGCTGGGATGTTTGTTATTGTTTGGTTCTCTTTGCAGCTTTCCACCATTTCCAGTTTTTCTATAATTGCTCACACATTCAACGCTTGCAAATAAAAGGGGGTGTGACACAGCTGAGGTGGGAGATGAGGCCTTATCATCAGCCGGTTACATTCGGATCAAAGTTGATTCACCTTGCTGCCACCCTGATGGACTCTACACTGCCTATGGCTTTTTTGTGCTTGCCTCTCCCCGTGACAGTCCAAATATGTGCCATGTTACTTGAGACATTTATCTTTATTATAACGAAATTCTTTCCTTCCTTTTTTTTCCTTTTTCTCCACCCCTGAAAGCAAGCATTTCAGATCTGTTGTACCACTGAGCAC